AGATGATTAGCTGATTGATCTGTCAGAATATATTCTAATTCATGAATCCGACTACGTGGGAAATAATACTGGATACCCAGAACGAACAACCCGACCGTCGGATCTCGTCGGATCCTATCGAAAAAATTATCGAATTTTATCGAATCCGATGGCAATTCGTCGGAATCCTTGGTATCGAATTCCGAAAGGAAGTTGTCGGATGTCGGAAAGCGTCGAAAGTGGCCGGGATCTTGTCGGAACTCTGAAAATCCGACACTTTCCAACATCCGACAACTTCCGACTAATTTCCATCGGATCCGATGATGTGAGATCGGCCTGGGTATTCTGCATTCTTATATAATCCGACAAGTTCCGATACCAGTGATTGATCGGTTTTATCATGGAATCCCGTGTCATTTGAAACCGGAAAATCCGGCCATTTCTTGACATCAGATTCCCCGGAATCCCATCGGAAGCGAACAGATCTTGAGATCGGATCTGATCAGTTCCGAATATATGAATCTAGTCGGAGCTCGATGAATCCGACTGGCAGATATCAAAGGAAAACAGTGGATAGCATCGGAATCCGACAAAAAGTAACCGACCGAATCCGATAAGTCGTATCTCAACGGATTTGAAACCCATCCAACAGGATCCGACATAGCTATTTCGACCTGGGTGGAAGTTTTTCGCCCCTGAAGTTTTTTGGACCCTGACGTTTTTTTGATCCCGATGCAGACACACATACACACACACACACAAACTATTTTTTTTTCATATGACCCTCCCTACAGTCGAGGGAATAAATACAGATTATGATAATTTATGTTTATCTCAAATATAAATTAAGTAACGTGCCTGAAATGCAAAATTAAACTAAGTTTTTTTTTCTTTTCTTGTATATGGTTAGATAGAGCTTGACGAGCTGATCAAGAATAAGTGTGTTAATTATTTTGGAGCAAGTTTTTAGTAAAGAATGCTCAGTTTTTTTCTGATGATCTACTGTTTCTTTAAAAAAAAGAAGTCAATTTCGATAACCGATGGATTTTTACGTTTTTTTGTTTGATTCTGATTCTGAAACTGTTTGTTTCGGGTTCATCATGAAAAACTAATTGTGAGAAAGTCATTGATGAGGCTATTCCGATATAACATGATCATGATTCAAGTTCCACACGGTTGAGAATTCGAAACTCCAGAAGAGAATTTTGTAAGGGTGTGGGTGTGGGGTGGGTGGGTGTGGGTGTGGGTGTGGGTGTGGGTGTAGGTGTGGATGCGGGTGTGGGTGTGGGGTATGAGTGTGGGTGGATGTGGGTGGATGTAGGTGGGTGTGGGTGTGGGTGTGGGTGTGGGTGCGGGTATGGGTTTGGGTGGGTGTGCATTTAGGGGTAGGTGTGGATGCGCAAGTCTTCCTTCCTGTTCATAGCTACAACCACATCCACACCTGCATCCACACCCACACCCACAGCCACACCTACACTCCACAGCCACAGCCGCAGTCACAGCCACAGTCACAGCTACAGCCACAACCACGCCCTCACGCGTACACTCTCACACCCACACCCGCCTACACCCACCCCCACCCACTCCGACCCCACCCACACCCACACCCCACACCCACACTCACGCCCCACACCTACACCCACACCCACAGACCTACCCACACCCACAGTTTAATATTTCTTATTCACACGATTGATTGTTTTGAATTGGTCAACTTATTCAATAGAATCATACTGTTGTTTAATCACATGCAATGACTCGAAGACAATTTTAATAAGATACAAAAGACATTTGCAGGTATATAAAAATTGTTAAAATTTTCTTTAGCTATAACAATTACGATAAACATGAAGGAAAAGTATTTTGTTCTAAAACTATCGAGCGATGCGATTAATCAACCCATTCATAAGATTGAGAAAAGCCTATGTTTCACATACCTAACTACTTCAGTTGTAGTTAATAATTACAAGATAAGATGATAATATCATCAATGAAAAACAAACGGCAATACTGAGTTTTATTTCAAATCAATGCTTCTCTTATTCTAAATTTATATCTTACAGGGCATGATATTACACAATTAAATTACAACAAAACACGTTTTATTCATTGGATATTGCGGAATTTTGTTTTTCGCACAATTATTTATAAAATGATTCCTAAGATCCAAAGTCTTGATCAGTCTGTCTAAATGGAATTGATTGTGCTGAGCAATTTCCAAAAGCAAAGCAAAAAATCTTTGTTTTTATTTTATAATATCAATTACAATCACTCTTATCGGTGTTATTTTCTGTGGAATATGTTTCATATACAATGAAAAACACACATTGCCAACTTATCCCATATGTTCTAGATTAAATAGATTTTAAATATAAGATAATCATAAGCAAATTATTTTTCATCCATGAGTGTTACGAATATGCAGCAAGAAAAATAAATTAAGCTAATTTGAAAACTTCAATGTCAGATGCGCTAAAATTCCGAGCTCCAGTAAATGTATTATTACCCTTTCCAGTTGTATCGAGGTATCCAGAAGGGAAACCAATGTAGCTTGAATTGTTTGAATTACTAGCATTTGCCAAGTGCATATCGTGACCGCTTCCAAATGTTGGACCATAGCCACTATGATGATAAACTGCATTTCCTGTCTGACTAGGATTAATGAGGTATTTAGTTGGTGGAATATTGTGAGGATTGGTCA